AACACACACACACACACACACACACACACACACACATGCACACACCCATGCCTTCATTTTCCATACCCATTACCCCTTTCAGTCAGAGGATTGCAAGACAGGAAGTCAATTATCATGCTCTTATAACAACACTTTTTTCAGTGTGTAAATCTGAGGTTTTTATTTTCAGCACGTAATAGGTTACAGTGAAGGTAATTTCTGTAAGTTGAGTTGTTTTCTAATATGTACTGTATCTTTCCTGTCAAACATCTAACGTCCTTATCCCTCCTTTTTGCGTGTGAGTCTGTTACTCTCTAATCTTCGACATTTTAAAAACCCAATTGTGTTACAAGTGCCATAAAACACTAACGAAAACAAAACGAAACAAACATGATTAGTATCGCATAACCCGTACGTCACGGGGCAATGCAGATTTCTAATTGCTCATAGTCAACAACGGTTTTCCTTTTTTACCCAGTGATGTGTGCAGTCGCTTGGCGCTGTTCTCTTAATATTTTATTTTTTTTAGAAAGTTTTGCTGTTGCAGGTGATTGGAAGGCGCAGCTGGTTCGTCCAACTTCTTTTCTTTCCTATAAATATGCTGACTTTATTCGTGTCTCTTTGCTTTTGCTACGCACAAAGTATGACCGTTGTTGTGTCGATGTGCTTCACTTCAACCCAAACACAAACTTTGTTGTTGTTGGTGGTGGTTTTGCTGTTTTCTTTTTCTTTTCTTTTTTTGGCTTTTTTTTTTTTGGCTTTTTTTTTTTGGCTTTTTTTTTTGGCGTACTTTCGCCAACTTGGCAGAATTTTCTCCAATCCACCAAGGCTAAACATTTTTCCCTGCCAGCTTAGATGTTGTTCAGTGAGTGTGGTGTTGACAATACAAATGTCGTGGCATGACTGGACGCTGTGCGTGATTTTACCAGACACTCAGCAAAGACTTTCATTATGAATAAATAACACGTTTCTGCTCAGGTTGACGTAGGAGGTAGTATTTATATATTTCAATTCCGCATTTGTCAATGGTCATTTCTTTTTTTTTCTTCTTTTTTTTGTTGGATATAATTCACGTGTTTTTGATTACCGCAGATAGAAGTAAAACCTTATACTATACATACATGCAGATGGAAGTTGTAGTGTTTCGGTGGGTGCTCATTTGTTGCTATTGGTAGGTTCTACACTACTTTGTTTACCACTTTTGTTTCTTTTCCATTTGTTATTATTGCCTTTTCCTAGCACTAAATGGTTAATGGTCGGGATTGTGTCGGTGTGCTTTTGCTCACTCAAACATTGATGGTCATTGATTCAGGACTGGCGTTTGTGGTGTAACGGTTAGGCGCTTGGCTGTTGCACGCAGGAGATTCCCGAGTGGGGAGAAATTGTACATGGAATATCTTGGTCTTTCTGCTGGGATGTTGTATCCCTCTCAGCCCGGGTTGGCCCTGACAAACAGGGTCGAAAGCCAGCCTCCTAAACGATCTTAATTCTGTCAATGGGGGCGTTAAAACACATACAGAGTGAGACTCCATCGTTTCGAGGAACATGGGGGAAACACCTAGATCTACCTATCCGCAGTTTGTTGTCATGCAGCTCTCTTTTCTAACCCCAAGTGGTTATAAACTTGACCAGTAAGCACGAGCTCAGGCTCAAGTTCCGTGTTATGTTTCAAGTTCTATCATCCCTCCTGCGCTGTGCACGCTATAATTTTTAAAATTATTTAAATTATGATAACGGTGATGACAATGATGATGATGATGATGATGATGATATGATGATGATGATGATGATGATGATGATGATGATGAAGAAATTCCATCCGGAAACCGAAAGTCTGCTTTTTCTGTTGTTGTTGGGTTTTTAAAATTAGTTGTCATACCTTCCTATCGTTTCCTGGTGTAATGCCGCTGTTATTATCATGATTCAGTGTAAATTAGGTCTCAAACATTCTGATAACACAATAAAAGAAACCCCCCAAAAAAGAGAGAAAAGGTGCAATCCAGACCATCTGTTGTCGTGTAGCTTATAGCAATAAGCATTAATTTTTGTTATTTTCGGACGTTTTCCACCAATCGTATAACGTAGAACTCGGGTGCATGATCCTTTTGCCCGGGATGACTAGCTTATGATCGGAACAATTCACATTCTCCGCACCTCGCTTCACAGCTGATGAATGTGTCCTTAGCGTGTCCAAGCTGGGATTTGTGTCCGTTACATATCGGATATCTATAATGTCGTAATAAAAGGAGTGCGTCATCGGTAGTTGTTGTGGACAGTATCCCGGCCTGTAACTCGGGAGACCGACGTTCGATTCCCCGCCGGGAAATGGTATTTTTGTCTTGATACGGAGAGAGAAGACTGAAAGAGAAGGAAGAAAGAAGGTAGAGACTGATCATTCTATACATGAATTGATATGTACAATAAAGAGAAAAATATTTGTATTAGTATACTACAGTCTCTTCAATGCTAATTAGATCTTGTCAGGTTTTGAGAACTTGGATTTTGCTAGTAATAATTAATAATTATTCATTATCATTATTATCATAATATAGATGATAATGATAATAAATAATTTTGCAACTCATCGACACAAAAAGAAAAGAAAAGAAAAGAAAACAGTTGACATGTATAGCTTGCTCGTTTGAAATATCTGATTCTCGCCTGCGTTAGAGACGGACATTATTATTAATGGTCGTCGGCTTTGTTACGACGTACTTTGAGGTCGGTAAAGCGGTGAACGCCTGATAAAAAATAAACTGCTATCGCGTTTGATATTATGCTGTTAATATTTTCCCTGTGTCTCGGCTCCGGTGTTCTAGCCTTTGCAAAGTAGTTTGTGGACTCGAACGCTTTTGAAAACGTTTTTAAGTTGGCGTGAGCTCCGAACATTTGACTTATATCTTATAGAATCAGTTCAGGGTCGTTAACGAGGCTTATCGAGAAGGCAATTCCACGTCAAATGTAGCCTATCGAGAGTTTTGCAAATCACTTGTTCAAGCATGGATGCACCCTTTAGTCAAATTCCTCCATTCCTTTCCCGCTCCTTCCAGGCATCGAGGAGTACATGCCGCGAAGTAGTTATGCTTTTTCACAGGTCATTTATTTTTGGTGTGATCTAATAGTGTAAGAAAAAAAATGGGGGAGGGGGTTAGGAGCTAATTTGGCTTTTTATTTAAACTCTTGTTCCCTCTTTGATAATATTTACTTCCCTGTCTTTCTCACTCCGCCTCTCTCCCTCCCCCTTCCTCAC